CGCCACAGCTGTGCGTCACTAGGCAAAACAGGATTTGCACGCAGTCTTATACTGAGCGCAATGGTGCAGGTTTGGTTCAATCTTGTTTTTTTTGTGGGAATTCCAACAGACTGAGTCTCACCTGACACGGGTTTCCATAGAGTTTTCCCCAGATTTGTTGTGTAAACACACTATATTAGCAATAGTGTGTTGCTTCTATACTATATCTCAGCTGTAGGACTGAATGAGAAGGTTAAGGATTTTTTCTAATAGTTAAAAACAAAATCAATTGGATCAGAGCTTCTGAGTTTTGCGTTGCGTTCGCATTCTTATCCTGACTTAAAACTAATCCAAATCTACATAATAGCCTCACCTGAGGCTTAACAGTTCAGGAAAATGTCTCGATACTTGAAATAATCATTGCTCTGATCTTTCAATTTCCTATAATAATTAAAAAAACAGTGGAGAAAATATTGATTAGAATCGACAGTGAGTAGCTCATACATTGTTTGACATATACGATCAATCTCTAAAAACAAATCATAGTCCCATGCATACCTACAAAAATTCCAACCTCACATGATGCATTAAGGGCTGTAGTTCTACCTCAACATTCCTATATTGTTCTTCTTGTTGTTGAGTTTATGTATGTTAACCGTAAATAATATCACAATTCATAATATGCTATTACTTGTGCTTCTCTGACTTACTTTCCAACTGCTTAACTGCTCCTGATATTTTTATTTTTTTTGTGGCGGTGGCATTTTTTTAAATTATTAAGAAGGTCTAGACAATCCAAAAACAGACATTCATATACATGAATTGAGATTCATTTATATAAACTTGGCAATGCAAACGTTTACATAGTATTTTCAATACAATAGTTAACAATGAGTTTGGCAATAAGTACAGTGTGGATTTTTCTATATTTTCTTTTTTTTTATTCACTCTCAACCAAAAGTCAATTAATTACTCAAGGGTCTCATGTATGCAAAATAAAAAACGGTAAATGACTGTTGTGTGTGTTTTGCGCAATACCGCAGGCATGTTAAACGCAATGGAAAATTTAGGTATCGAGCTTTTAAATTTCGGTGAGCGTGGTTGGATTTGTTTTTTTTTAGGAAGAGTCAGGGGAGGACATGGCAGGCAAGGGAGAAACGGGGGAGATAGGAGGGGAGACCCACTTGCACATGGCTTCTGTCTGGCATCTGGGTCCGGCTCTGGTACCTGTTAGAGCTGTGCTTTCACTGAGCGCCGGGCTGTCCTACAAAGCGCAGCTGCAGCACCTGGAAGTGCACATTCGAGTGCATCGCATGAATGTGCATAGAGCAAATAACAGCAAGTGCCGCTGTCCACATTCACGAATTAATTATCAGCGATATAAGGTTGTAAATAGTGGATCCGTGGAATCTTTTCATCCTAGTTTATCTGATTCACACAACACAACCACTTATACATTTGGTTGGTAAGAGCACACTAAAGTATTTTTTCAGCCTTTCAACCAACTGTTTCTTTATTGGAGCCCGTTGGTTCTGTCTCTGTGCGTGGAGCTCCTCGGAACATTAAACAGTGCGTCACAGATTAGAATAACGTAAGAACTTTGAATGGTAATAGATCTACAGTACTTTATTGAATTACCTCACGTGTACAACGTCAGGGAATGAAAAAAAACACTTGCTTTCACGTGGTAACTTTAAAAAATTAAAAAGTCGGCTCAGTGCTTCAGTTTGGCGCTGAAGAAGACAGCCCAATCACTGCAGAGAACGGAAACGGTTTCACGTGATTGCTGAAGCGCTGTTGTCTGGAGGCGAGGAGGAGGCGCGACGTGTGCACAAACGGAAGACAGGACTTTTCACGCACGGCCCCTTCTCCGCCATCTTCCGCCCTTCTCGGAGAAAAAGCAACTTCCGGTTTTGCGGTAAGTCAAGACTGGATCATACTTTTCAAGAAACGAGTTTGATAATATCTCACTATCTTTGCTTTTTCAGAAACTTCCTTCAGGCTATTAGGGGAGCACTCGGTACGGTCCATTTTATTGGAATATTTCTCCCTAAAAGGTTTTGTGTCTTAGTCAAATGGTGGTTTGTCAAGCTAAAGGCTAAGTTGCATCAGTTCTGCCGGTGTTTCTTTGTGCTCTTGAAATGCATTATATAACAATTCGTAGTGTTAGACAGTTAAAACAGAGTACTACATTGTGTATGTTATTTCTGAGACAGTTGTTTCTTATAACTAATCATTCTGCTTTTTTTTTAGTTTGCAGCGTGAGAATTTAAGCTGGATTCAATATCACTTTTGAATCTTCCTCAAATACATTTGCTGATGTCAAGAGGATTGTGGACAACTATTCATTGACCAATTGTTCTAAACGGACAAAGCTAACATTCTTTAATGAAGGATTTAATTTTCAAACTTCAGGGGTGAGTGTAATTTTAGATTGGGATAATATATTGAGAAAAGGCTAGGAAAAATGTTTACTCATACATATATTTGGCATGCGAAATTCTACCTTTCTAACAGATTATTTTATCTGTATCTAATGTAAGTTCAGGGTGAGGTTACGTGAGGGGAGATGTCAAGGTCAATGAAGAAAAAGAGGAAGCTTATCATCTTCAGGTTTACTTTGAGTGTAGCTAAATAGGTTTCTTTGAAGTGAGGGTCAGTAAATTTGCAATTGTTGCCTATTACTCAAGTCAAATTTGTTTTCACTTCACAGTAACTTCCTTTCATGTAATATCCCAACTGTGAAGAGGAAAAATTCCAAGTGTGTTGCGGGGGGGCGCTGGAAGGGCATTGTTGCAATCACTGGAGGCTTTCTATACCAAATGGCTCACTATCGTACATGGGCTTTAAACTGTTGCCCTTACTCTATCTGACAAGTCCCTTGCAATCCATGGCATGGCCTAGGACACAGGTAGACTTGATGTCAAAGTGGAGCTCATCTGGAAATTGTTATTATATTTTCTAGGGGAGAGCACAGAGGTACACTGATATGGTGTGGTAAAATAAAAAAATCCACAATGAAGACAAGGTTGTAGAAGTGGTGTCCAAAGCATCTTTACAAAGCTATCTTGGTGAGTTTTGATGTGAATAACATGCAATGCTGAACAAGCGTGAATAAAAGTATAACCTACATATATATACCATTTATATTACCAGTAATTACATGTATAAACAATTATATAAATATATATATATTAATTAAACATACTCTTAATGTAACATGATAAAAGGAAAATTATTATAAATCTTATAAGGATAAAAATCTATGATAAAGTTAGGCTGAGTAAGATGATTTGAAAGGAGTATAAGGAAATTAAGGAAACTTTTAATATATAAACATATTTGACTTACACTGTTACAAATCAAGTGCATGTATTGTAAAAAATACCACGGCATAACCCAAATCTGTAGCATCCAATCATTGAAGTTAGTTCATTTAGCATAATAACGAGGAGTGGTAGTTAAAAAAGTCTTAACTTCTTCACATCCTTTTGACTGGATTGTGTTAATAAAAAAAAAACTGTATATTTGCACCTTCTAGTCTGTCTTGATTGTTGTCCTTTGCCATGGCTCGAAAAAAAAATATTCATCAATGAGGGGACGCTTTTCATAGGGCTTGGTTTTCAACTACTGCACATTGCCTGTGCCTTACTCAATAAACAGATTGGATGCAGAAGGGCTGAATAGACTCCCAAAATATCTCAAAAACTCTATAGAAGAAAACGACACTAACTAGCGAAATTCCTATCTGTTACACAAAATTTGTATATAAGAGGCAGTCGTCTTAAACATGTTAGTTAATGTAGTTTCCGCTCCAGACATAACACCTTCTGCTCCAAATCCTAATTGCATTGCAGCCCTGTTACTTGATCTAGAAAAGAATAACAAATATATAAGCGTTATAAACCCCATTCATCATAAGCTTTGCTCACACATAGTCATCCATTATCAATTAGTCATCTGGACAGCTGTTCAAAGTTTACATCTCCTTTGGACAGGATTAAGCTTGCTACATTTCCTGTTCTCAAACCAATTAATCAGAGTCCAGGTGACAAACTTTTTAAACTTGCTCTTAAGTGTACGTTGCCGTATGAATACTCACCAGAGGAAGGATGCTTTGTGTATTCATGGTCTGAAAACAGCCTTGGCTACTTTTCCTTGTGTGGAGCCACCATCTCTCTCTAAGTCTTGGAAAGATCTTCGCATCCCTTCATTAACTTAAACCATCGGTGCCTTGTTGCTTTCTTTATTCTTTTCCTTTAAAACAACATATATAATTGCATTATGTTTACAAACTGTTAAGATGATTATGTGGAAAAAACATTTAGGCCAAGTGAACGTCACCTAATTATATGAGATAAGACAATAGTTATTCAGTATCACTTTTGCTGCCATTAGGACACCGACCAAACACACACACAGACACACCACACTTACCATTTATTCCAAACCAATTTGGATGGCACAGAATTACTGTGACTTCCTCAATCCTCCTTTGGATGTGTAGAGGTCATTGGCCGAAATTAAACTGCAGACAGCACTGGGCCATTTTCCACTTAAAATTTGACCCTCATCTCTCGAATGGTCCAGATCCATTTGGCAGTTACAATCATCCATGGGGAACTCGTGGAAACTTATGTAAGGATGTGTTCTCTTGTTAGATGAACAAAGAGGACACAGCAAGATTTTCTGGATGCCATTCTAGTAAAAAAAGACAAGAAAAACCAACCATAATACTAATGTAGATACACTTTAGTCTTGAACTTATTAAGCAATACTATTATTTAAACTAAGATTGTGTTCAGAAATAACAGCCGTGCAGGTAACTGGATGCTAACTTAGCTTTAGTATGACAACCCCAATATACTAATACAAACCTTGTAGGGAGAAAATATTCCTAATTGTGACCATACCGGAGTGCTCCCTCCTAGGCCCGAAGGTCATTCTGAAAAAAGAGAAGATTATTGAGATATTTCACTAGTTTCTGAAAGTATGATTCCTGTCATTGGTGTTACCGCGAGGGGGGGGGGGGGGGGGGGGGGGGGGGGGGGGGGGGGGGGGGGGGGGGGGGGGGGGGGGGGGGGGGGGGGGGGGGGGTGGGGGGGGGGGGGGGGGGGGGGGGGGGGGGGGGGGGGGGGGGAAACGGAGTGTTTCTCCGAGAAGGCGGAGATGGCGAGAAGGGGCGTGGCGTGAAAAAGGGTCTCAGTCGGGTCACGGAACATCATGTCATTTTGGTGGGGACTTTTTCGTCTCCAAATATTGGTGGGGACATGTCCCCATGGTTCCCACGCAAACCTACGCCCTTGCCTGAGCGTTTCAGTCGTGGCAGAGCTAAGGGACTTAACCTGCCCCTGTGGCGTTGGATGTTATTATGTTTCTCGCAGATGCGTGATTCATGAAAAGCAGTGAATGAATACGACAAACGAAATGGGACCTACTGTAGACATGTTTAGGTGGAGCTGTGAGTGGATAAGATGAGGCGAGTTGATTGTCGATGTGGAGAGCTTATAGCTTTTACTGTAGTTTTCAGGTGCAGTACTCCTGGAAAAAGTAAAGGTGGGGTGTTTGAGTTTTAAAAGGTTGAAACTGTGGAGGGAACATGATGTAACTATGGCGGTGTGAAGTGAGGAAAAAAGCGTGGAGATTCAGAGAGTGGGAAGGTTGTGAATATGTCTCTTATGCAGAAGCAGTGAGGAAAGTTCAATATCAAAAACAGGAGCGAATGGAGACGAGTGATGCTAGAGGAAAGGAGCAGAGTGTGATTGAGGGTAATTGGTGCGTGATAATTTGATGGTGTTTCTAGATATGTCATAAATTGTTGCGCATCAGCAAGCATAAACAGATCAAAATTTACGACTATTGGGAAGGTGAGCGGAAAAGTACCTCGGGTATGAGAGGTGTTTTCCTGGGATCAAGGGTGGACAAAAGGTTGGGAGAGGCGAGAGGGAGTGGGAGTGGGAGTGGGAGTGAGAGAGTAGTATGAGATATTCAATGGCAGAAAAGGAGTTTAGTGGTAATGGACAGGAATTAAAAGGTTATGATGCGTACAAGGAGAGGAGACGGATATATATGTGTTCAGGCAAACATGGCTTATGGTGCATTCAGACGCAAACCGCTCAAACGCTGAAGCCCGTTGGACAAAGGAGAGTTGTGTTAGGGACAGTTGGATAAATGACCTCGCAACTCGTTACCGAAGGGCATAAAACATTGGAGGGAGAGTGAATAACATCGTGTGCCAGCAATGAACTCTTTGACGGCAAGGATTTGCCACTTGTGTACGGAGGTCCTGAGGGAGCGCAATTCGGTTTAATTGGATGGATAATATTAATCTGCCTGCTTTTGACGCCTCAATTGCATATATATTGTCCTTCAGGCGATGTGGTTTTTCTCATGCTGTGTCTTCTTTCCACTCGTATTCAATTCTCTGCCAAGGCATATACAAGGCCCCAATCTTACAACAACCTCACACTTTAGTCTCCAGCTCGGAATCCGTCCCCGCCTCCCTCTACCTATCCATCTTCTCCTTCCCTCCCACACTCCTCATTGTCTTTCGGGGCTACCCCTCTGATCCTGCCTCCTCTGACAGCCACATTGACGCCGGCAGTCGGAGGTGCTCATCCCGAGAAAAAAATCCGTGGTTTATACAAAGCACAATGTGTCTATCCAGCTGTCGTGCCGTGAATGCACTATGGGTTACGTTCAGATTTAGATAATTATAGGTGTCTCTCCGCTGGTCCATTTCACCTCAAAATGTGACATCTCACCTCGTCAGACAGTTTCTCATTTCAATGTCTTGAAGCTCTGTCAGGGCTTCATACCGTGTACTTCAGCTCTATTCTTTTGTACTCCTCTCATTCAAAACACTTTCTTCTCTCAAATAAAAAAAAAAAAAAACTCAAGTCTCTTTAGGGTCTAATGAAAATATTGCTACATTTTATAAGGCGCGAAAAAACCCGGGAAAGGTTACTATGACAACAGTGCCCCTGGCCATGTATCCCTATGGGGCAGCAGATAGGGCTGTGGTTTAGAAAGTAAAATGCGTCGTAAAATCTTGTTTTCTTTACTTTTTCCAAACCCAAACACACCAAAATATAAACAACAAGTAAAGTAAAAGTCATGAAATTTCAAACTCTGGCGTTTTGTTTTGATTCCACTAATAGCATATTAAAGTGAGTGACGGTCAGTTGATCCTGCTAGGGGCTACGCTCCTCGTGTTAATGGCGATAGTGGCTCGCTATCTGGCAAAACAATTCCAAGTGGTAACTTCTGTTTGTTACTTACATGGCAATAAAAACTAGAAACTTGCAATGGCTGAAGCCATTGCGTTTGATGCGGAACAGATCTAATGTGAGAAATCTGCTAAAAAAAATCCTTGAATCCTTTAAAAGAGCCTTGAAAAGTTAAAATACTTGATAGATATTAGAAATCCTGAAGTCCTTGAAATTGTTGAAACCTTTAAACTTCTGAAATCCTTGAACTGTTGAAACATTGAAACTCATGAAATCCTTGAACCTTTTTTTTAAACCTGGAATGTTGAAAGTGTGGACATTGAATCCTTGAACTCTGATATCTGAAATGGTTCAATTCTTAACAGTTGAATCTTGAAATATGAATGTTTTTGAAGTGTCTTGAAACTGAAAAATCCCTACGCGAAACAATTTGGTTCTGTAACTAAGGAAACCTGGTCTTGTGGTCATTATCTGGTGGTGGTCTGAGTCTTCGTTTGGGTCTTGGTTGGAGGTTATAATGCACTATTAGGTTTGCTTATACCACAGAAAGACCAAAACGAGACTCAGACACCACCAGTTAATGACCAAGACCAGGTATTCCTTAGTTACAGGAACCAAATTGTTTCAGCGGGTGAGGGGATTTTTCAGTTTCAAGGACATTTCAATACATCAGTTAGATTCAAGGATTTCAACTGTTTAAGAATTTAACCAGTTTCAAGGATATCAGGAGGTTCTAGGATTCAGGAGTTTCCACATTTCAAAAGTTTCCAGGTTTAAAAAAAGTTTCAAGGATTTCAGGAGGTTCAAATCGTTTAAACCAGTTTCAAGGATTTCTGGAGTCTTAAAGGTTTCAACAATTTCAAGGCTTCAGGAGTTTCAAATTATTATCAAGTTTTTAACAGTTTTCAAGGCTTTTAAAGTATTTCAAGATTTTTTTTAGCAGATTTCCAATTAGATCTGTTTCCGCAGTCAATTCGCAATGGCTTCAGCATTGCACTTTTAGTTTTTATTGCCTATGTAAGTAAAAACCACGTTACCATTGGAAATTGTTTTGCAGATAGCGTGCCCTTCGCCATTAACATAGGAGCAGCCCTAGCGGTCAACAGACCGTCACTCACTTTAAATGTAATTAGTGTATCAAACAAAACGCCAGAAGAAGTTGATATTTCATGACTTTATGGGTGGTATGTTGTTTATATTTTGGTGTGTTTTGGTTTGGAAAACAGTTAAAGAAAAAGATTTACAGCATTTTAGCTTTATCTAAACACCAGCCCTTTCTGCTGCCCCATAGGGAGACATGCGGCAGGGGCGAATGTTGTCATAGTAACCTTTCCGGGGGTTTTTTCCGGCCTTATTAAAATGTATCATTCTGTTGTCATTAGACTCTAAAGAGACTTGAGTTTTTTTTTTTTTATAATTGAGAGAGAGAAAGAGTTTTGAATGAAGAGGAGTACAAAATGAATAGAGCTTGAAAGTAACGGTATGAGCCTGACGTGCTTCAAGACATTGAATGAGAAACAGTATGAAGGAGGTGAGATGTCAATTTTTGAGGTGGAAAGTGACAGCGGAGAGAGACTATAATATTCTAAATTGACGTAAAATCCCATAGTGCATTCACGGCACGGACGCTGGATAGGACACATTGTGGCTTTGTTATAAACCACGGGGGATTTTTTTTCGGGAATGAGCACCTCCGCCACTGCGGCTCATTGTGGCTGTCAGAGGGAGGGCATGATCAGGGGGAGGGGGTGAGCGGAAAGGAAAGACATGTGGAGTGGAGGGAGGGAAGGAGAGATGGATAGGTAGAGGAGGCGGGGGGGCGGTCCGTGCTGGAGACTGAGAAGTGTGAGGTTGTTGTAGATTGGGGGACCTTGTTATATGGCCTTGGCAGAGGGAATTGAGATACGAGTGGGAGAGAAGGACACTGCAGGAGAAAAAAACAATGATGACCTGAGAGGGACAATTATTTATGCAATTGAGCGGTCAAAAGCAGGCAGTTTTATTATTCATCCAATTAAACCGAAATTGCGGCGCCTCAGACCTCCGTACACAGAGGAAATCCATCCGGAGTCAGAGAGGAGTTCATTGCTGGCCACGATGTTATTCCTTCATCTAATGTTTTATGCCTGACGTGAAACGAGTCTGCGAGGTCTTTTATCAACTGTTCACTAACACAACTTCCTTTGTCCAGACGGGGGGCTTCAGCGTGTTGGAGCGTTTGCGGTCCTGAATGCACCATAAGCCTGTTTCCTGAACACTTTTAATATAGGTCTCCTCTCCTTGTTCTGCACATAACCTTTTAATTCCTGTACATTAGCCATAAATCCTTGCGTTCATGGAATGATTCTCATTTACTACTTTTATTCTCCCTCCCTCCCACACCCACTTCTTTCCTCCTCCAACCTTTTGTCCACCTGTTCCCAGGAGGAAACACCTCTCATACCCGAAGGTACTTTTGCTCCCTTCACAATAGTTCGTTATTTTGATCATTTTATGCTTTGCCTGGATTTCGGCCACACATTATGGCATATGTAGTCGAGAAACCCATCAATTATCACGACACCATATACCCCTCAATCACATCTGCGTCTATCTCTAGCATCCACTCTGGTCTCATTCGTCTGGGTTTGATTTTGTGAACTTTTCTCGCTGTTCTTGCATAAGAGACATTATTTACAACCTTCACTTCTGAAATCTCCACGCTTTTATCCTATTACAACCTGCCTCATAGCGTTACATATGTTGCCCTCCACAATTTCTACATTGACAATCAAACCCCCCACCTTTTTACTTCCAGGGAGTACTGCTTACTACAGTCCACGTTTCGCCTATCAATTCACGCACAGCTTCATCTACAGTTTTTCGTGTAAGATGTTTCGACGTATATTGCCACTAGGTGGCGGTTTTTTGCTTCAAGCTGATGAGTCAATCAATCAACATTTCTAACAAATACTTGGCTTGATG